GTCAAGGTCGAAAAACACCGACCCGGGATCGGCCCGGCTGCAATCCGAGTCGGGCCCGGACCCGTGGTCGACGGGTTTGACCGGGCCGGGTCCATGCCGGGTCCGGGTCGGGTCCGGGCCGGTTGACTTGTGGCCATGTCTAGTGTTTGCAACCTGTGCGATGCACGAGACTTTATATAGAAAATATCTTATTATCAGTTATTTAAGATAATATGTTAATTCTATTCGACACAACATATCAAGTTGTAATAATATAATATTTATTTTAATATTTTCATTTTTATTTTTGTAGGTATGAGTATAAATTTCATTAGTTATTAGTTTATAAAATATTGCAAAAGTGTAATATTTTAAATATAATGATTGTTTATAGTGGTTTTCGCAATTCATATTTTATGTATTGCTCGATAATTGACTAACGTTCAATCCATAAAATTATTTTTTCTCTATAATAACTCTAATTTAATGATATACTAACTTATGATGATTAACTTTTAATTTTTAGTCACTTTATATCTTGTCAAACACAAATTTCATAGTAAATACTTTATTTTGAATTTAATGTTTTGTAGTCGATATTTATTTATTTAATTAATGATTTTACAACATGTATAATAATTTAATTAATAAAAAATTTAAGCATTTTGAAATATGATTTATTTCAATAACTACCAAATGCAATAATTTCAATTATTACTTGACTATATAATTTTATTTACTTGTTTTTCTCTATGAAATAATATATAATAAAAATTTTACTTTTAAACACCCTGAATAGTGTTTTTTTATGCATATAAATATTTAAATTTGAAACTTATAAGTCTTAATTTCACCAACCATCAAAAGATAATTTATTAATATATAATTAAATTTTTAAGTAGTATTATCAATACAAAACATATATTAAAGAGAGTTTTAATATATTCACAGTTAAATCAAATACATTCTACAAAAAAATTATCAATATATTAAATTATTCATTTAACTAATATAATTCATAATTATTTAATTATTTTATTATATATCTTAAGTGATTTTGATTGATGAACATAATTCATATCTGCAACCATGAAGTAATAATTGAATTAATCAAATTAATTTTTATAATTATAACAAATAATTTTTTTTTTTTTAAATTATTTCAACCAAATTACTATGAAATTGGTATTATGGTTTTTTTTTTTTTTTCAAAATACTTGTATCAATCAACCATTATACATAAGTCATTTTTTATTGAAGGTGTATTAGCCATTGTGTAAAGAAAAAATAACTTTATTTTCATATGTAAAGTTTGCTAATAAATAAATCTTAATTATATGCAAAATATTAACAAGAAATATTAGCAAATTATTTTTCATGCCCGAGAGAGAGAGAGAGAGAGAGAGAGAGAG